CCCTCTCAGCCACCCTCATAACATCTCTTCCTAGCCCCACAGGGGGAAGACCTCATCATCTGGTGCCCGTTCCATCTGGGAGCTCTACTGTTTCTTCTTTCTACCTCAAGCTTACCCAACCGCATACTTACCCCCTCTCCCCAACATCCATTACATCCCGAGCCTGGTCCTCTATTGCTCCACCAAAAATCAAAGTCTTCAATTGGATTGTATTATCGGAGAGGGTGCTCACTTTTGACCAACTTCAAAAGCAAGGTATTCATATCCCCAATAGGTGCGTTATGTGCCTTGCCGAGACCAATGCCCACCTCTTTCTCCATTGCCCTTATGCACAGTCCCTCCTTCAACTGTTTAATTGGCAGTGGGTTACTCCCAAATCTGTCCCTCTACTCTTTTGCTCCTTGCACCCAGTGCCCTGGCCCAAAGCGGGTATTCTCCTGTGGAGCGCTGCTGTGACGGTTGCACTTTGGGTCTTATGGTCCGAGAAGTATAGCAGGATCTTCCGAGGAGAAAGATCTTCACCAGCTTCTCTCTTTGCCAAGATTAAATCCTTGGTCGTTTTTTGGGTGACAAATCACAAATACTTCGAAGACTTTCCTCATTCAACTTTCGTCCAAGAATACTTCAAAGGGTTTCCTCGTTCAACTTTCGTCCAAGACTAGGTGGCTACAGCTTTTTCAAGACAGTTTCAAATCCCTGTGCCTCCTTTTGGAGGCCTCCAATCCCAGGACAGACTAAATTTGATGGCTGCTCCATAGGCAACCCAGATCCCAAAAGGGATTAGTGGACTCTTCAGGGATCATGATGGTTGCCTTCTCCAAACCCATTGAACACTCCGACTCCCATACAATGGAGGCCCTTGCGCTTCTTGAAGGACTCAAAATCTTTAACCCACAGTGGAGTAGCTCAATAGTGGTTGAGAGGGATTCATTGAATGTCATTCGATGGGCTTCTAATTTCTCTACCCGACCTTGGTCGCTAGGCCATATTTTTTATGAACTCACTCAGTTAAGCAGGGATTTGGAAATCTCATGGAGGCATGCTTAGCGGGAGACCAACCAAGAAGCTGCCTCACTTGCTAAAGACACCGCTTTCGAAGCCCAACTTAATCTTCCCCATTCTTATAGCCCATTCTTTGGGAGACCTTCTGCCACTTCATAGTTTCTCACTTGTATTAACAAAAAGTCTTGTATAGGGATACCCCACCCAAGGGTTTGTCTCATCTCCTTACTTTTGTATAGCACTCCTACATGGTGGGATTTTTTGTATATATTTTTGACTTGTTTGTACTCCTTCTCTATAGTTGGACTTGACTTTTCTAGAGATCTGTGCCAAATTTAAGGTTTACTCAATAGTTGGACTTGACTTTTCTAGAGATCTGTGCAAAATTTAATTGCGATCCTTTGGGGTCCTACACACATGGGTGTGGGAGGGT